CTTCATTGACTACTCTTCATCTTATTGAGAGTGGGTTAAGCGGAAACTTTCCAAACAGTATTTTCCGCTTTCCAAATCTCAAGAATTTTTATTTAAGTGGAAACTGGAACCTCACTATTGATCTTCCAAGTTCCAATTGGAGCAGTCCTCTCCAACAGTTGTATTTAAGTGTTGTGGATTGCGGAAGGCGATTGCCAGAGTCTATAGGAGATCTAAAGTCATTACAGTCTCTGAGTCTTAGATGCAACTTGGAAGGTCCCATTCCAGCTTCCATTGGGAACTTGTCTCAACTAACTGACCTAAGACTCCATTCTAACAATTTTAACGGACAAATCCCAACATCACTTGCAAACCTCACACAACTTACCTCTCTTTACATTTTCGATAATCAGTTTTCTAGTCCCATTCCAGCTTCTATAGGTAACTTAAGGCAACTTACTATCCTAGCCCTCTCTTCTAACAATCTTAGCGGACAAATCCCACCATCACTTGCAAACCTCACCCAACTTACCTATCTTGACCTTTCAAGTAATCAGTTTTCTGGTCCCATTCCAGCTTCCATAGGTAACTTAAGGCAACTTGGTGTCCTAGCCCTCAATTCTAACAATCTTAGCGGACAAATCCCACGATCACTTGCAAACCTCGCACAACTTAACTTGCTTTACCTTTCATATAATCAGTTTTCTGGTTCCATTCCTTTTCATGCTATTAGGTTTTCCACACTAAGCGATCTAGACTTATCTTATAACTTACTTAATGGCACGTTGCCACTTTGGATTTTCACCCTACCTTTTTTAGAGAACTTGAACCTCAATCATAACCAATTTCAAGGTCAAATAAATCAATTCCAGTAAAGCTCACTCACACACCTAGATTTGTCACACAATAAACTCCAGGGCTCAATTCCTAACTCAATTGCTAATTTAGTAAATCTTAGTTATCTGGATTTATCATCAAATCATTTTAGTGATTTAGTAGAACCTGACATGTTCTCGGCGCTTCAAAATCTGCAAGCCATCTTTCTTTCAGACAATAATCTGTCCTTGAGAATGAATGTCAATCCCAACTTCACTTTACCCGAACTAACTGATGTTTCCTTTTCTTCTTGTAACTTGAGTGAATTCCCCAATTTCATTAGACATTCAGATGGTCTACAAAGCCTAGTGCTATCCAAAAATAGCATTCATGGAAATATTCCCAAATGGATACGTGAAAAGTATTTTCTCGAAATTCTTGACCTTTCTCATAACAATTTAATCGGGAAGATTCCAAATTATCTTCCACCGTTTCTGTCAGTGTTGAATTTGCAGGCCAATTACTTTGATGGAAATATATCAATTGGGTTTCCAGAGGACTGTGGATTACGAAATCTCAACTTACATGGAAATCAAATAGACGGGCTATTACCAAGGTCTTTGGTGAATTGTAGCATGTTAGAGGTTCTAGACGTCGGCAACAACGGCATAGAGGACACATTTCCTCATTGGTTGGAATCTCTACCCGCCCTTCAAGTACTTGTCTTAAGGTCCAACAAGTTCCACGGTTCTGTGCAGAGCACTAAAGAAAGTTCATCTTTTCCCAAGTTACGAGTTCTAGACCTCTCCAACAATGATTTTCTTGGTCCTTTGCCTATTCGGTACATGGGAAATTTGAAAGTGATGATGGACCCTCATGGAGAGGATGGTTCCCCTGAATACATGAAGATGTCGACAGGAACCAATTCTTATCAATATTTACTGGTTGTGACATGGAAGGGATTCGACTATGAGCTGCAGGGAATCTTGACCGTATTCAGTAGTATTCATCTCTCAAATAACAAGTTTGAGGGAGAAATTCCAGATGTTATTGGAAAGCTTAGTTCTCTCAAAGGGCTTAATCTTTCTCATAACAACCTTACTGGTCATATCCCACCGTCACTAGGGAATTTGACGAATCTGGAATGGTTGGATCTGTCTTCCAACGAGCTGGCGGGGAAAATTCCAGATGAATTGGTATCTTTGACACAACTCTCTGTATTGAATCTTTCAAATAATCAACTCGTCGGACGCATACCACAAGGCAATCAGTTCAACACCTTTGGAAATGGTTCTTATGAAGGAAACCTTGGACTGTGTGGAATCCCATTGTCAAAATCTTGTGATAGAATTGGGACACCGCCGAGCTCCTTCCAAGAAAAAGATGAGTTGTGGAGATTTGGCTGGAGAGTTGTGGTGTTAGGCTACGGATGTGGAGTTGTTTTTGGACTGCTGATGGGATATCTTGTCTTCCGAACAGGAAAACCGAAATGGTTTGTGTCTTTGTTTGATGGCCGACCAAGTCAAAGTGGAGGGCAGATGAGGAAAGCCAGAAGACTTGTTCAAAGAAGAAGCTAGTTGCAGAGTTGATGTTTTAGAGCTTCTGATTTAATGTTTTTTGAATAAGTGCTTTTTGGGTTGGAAGTTCTTGTTATAGCTGGCGTTGGCTTGTCTAAAATTGTCAGCCTTCTATTGTCTTTATTATGCTTTGTAATTTTGTCTTTCTTTATTGTAAAATATATTTGAAGGTTTAAGCTGTGAATCGTTCTTAGTTGTCCAATTAATCTACTTCCTTCAGCAGACTCATAAAATTTCTTGTTTGGATTTTGATGGAATCACTTCATAAGTGGGGAATCTGGATTTTTGGATGGTTATCGTCTTGGGGATATAACTGTAATTGTCATGTTGGGAAGGGTATTTGGGCTTCGGTCTCTCTCTCGCACTCGCTTTAGGCAACATCTTCCTTCACAACAGAAAGAATCCAATGGAATCACCTCAATTTCACCTCTTCTATTATGAATCCCAACTCCTGCGTTCCATCTGCAGCAAATCCATCAATACCCACCCGATTCTCCCTCAACCTTTGTTTTTACCTCGTCACCTAGCATGCTCAATTCCAACGGGAAGGAATAGGATTGGGAAAGGGAATAAAGTTTTGTTTTTTTTTGTTTTTTTTTTTTTTCCTGAATTTTTAACATTTTGCTTC